GCACAATATCACTGAAAAGAAAAATAAGAGATCCAAGAAGAAACCTGCATAGGTGTATAAAGGACTGTCTGTTAAATTGAAAGACAAAAAGGACATGTATAAAAAATGGAAAGAGGCTAAGGCATAGTACAGCATATAGCACAAATCTGCAAATATGAAATCGGGAAAGCTAAGGGTCAGAACGAATTAAGACCTGCAACAAAATGTCAAAAATAATTACTTTCAACATGTAAAAAGCAAGAAAAAAGTCAAGGAAATGATTAGTCCAATAATGGGAGAAGATGGCAAGGAAGTGATGGGCAGCAGAGAGAAAGCGAACCGCTTAATTCATTCTTTGCATCTGTCTTCATGGAAAAGGACAAAATAGCCCAACCTACCAAAAGCAGATCCATAAAAGACAGACTGGGAATACAAGTCAAAATAGGCAAGAAAATGGTAAGATCCTAATCTACTGGGATTGGCACACCCCATCTATGCCAGCAGAGGAGGCATACTGCAGGCCCCATTGGCCAGGGTGTTTTGGCTGGTGAGGTCCAGAAAAAGAGACCTCTCTACTGTTGCGTCTGCCCTTGGAAACATCTTACACACACCCACACACCCCAAGTGAGGTTGTCTCTAACCCTCCTTATCTGCCATAAGAGTTTAAAGACCTGGTTCTGCCAGTTGGCTAAGGGCTCCAAAAGAGGGTTTTCACATTGGGATTGATTAATAGATTAATAACAGATCCCACCCCCTCCCCTTCTCATCATACTCCCTCCCTTCCCTTCTTTTTAGCTAGGTTGGTTTTTATAGTATTTTATTTACATCATTAGATTTTATACAGTTATATCTTTTAATATTGTAAGTTGCCCAGTGTTACTGTGTGGTAAGGTGGGAGGCTAATAAATTTTACAAACAAATAATTTTACAAACAAAGAAACTTATTGAGAGATCTAATCTAGAAGGAGAAATTTCCGAACAGTGAGAACAATTAATCAGTGGAACAGTTTGCCTTTAGAACAGTGGTTCTCAACCTGTGGGTCGGGACCCCATTTGGGATCGAACGACCATTTCACGGGGGTCGCCAAACAACGCAGTCCGCCATTTTTCCCCCTTTTCCTTAGCTGTGCTACTCCCTTTTATTCTATTGGCTTTTGAAAGCCAATAGAATAGACTCTCTTGAATAGAGTCTAATCTATTGGCTTTCAAAAGCCAATAGGAATTGTCCAGGCTGTCTCTGACCTGCTGAGCCCTCCAAAAGTCCCATTCTGCAAACGGTGCTGCACCAGTTGAGTAGTCCTCGACTTACGACCGGTTGAGTAGTCCTCGACTTACGACCGGTTGAGTAGTCCTCGACTTACGACCGGTTGGGGGTCGCGGCATTAAAAAGGTTGAGAACCACTGCTTTAGAAGTTGTGGGTTTTCCATCACTGGAGGTTTTTAAGAAGAGATTGGATAGCTATTTGTCCAGAATAGTATAGGTCTCCTGCTTGGGCAGGGGGCTGAACCATTCCAATTCTGTTATTCTGTATTCTGTAATGTTGTGGTTTTCTAGTTCAGATGCCAAGTAAAAACATCCAGCTTAAACTGGATAGGTAAATGTTGAAGAGTTATGCTTGGTCTTAATTTTGAAATAAATTATCTTGAGGCTAATAAAACTCCCATCAAAGAAGCATAAGAAACATAATTTAGTTGAAGACATTCTCTAAGTTTATGTTATGAAAAATGAAGTATTGTTGAATCCTGTAAGTATAGTGTATAAATTTATGGTATAACTACACTGTAAAGATATGTAGTAATACTGTCTTTATTCAGAAATAAATTATATTGAATTCAATTCAATTTAGTTCAGGTAAAATTAGTTAGAAATAGGACTTAAAGCTGGTTAGCAAACATTTCCTTGTATCAGTATAGTTCACAGGCAAAGAAAAATGTTAGGTAAATCTCACAATTTTCACAATTCATTATAGAAAACTACAAGGACAAGTTAAGCAACATAAAAAAAATATTTTTTAGGATATATAGTTAAAGGTATTGTAAATACTTTCCTGCCTGAGCAGGGGATGGACTAGAAGACTTCCAAGGTCCCTTCCAACTCTATTATTCTGCTATTTCTGTTAAATATGTGAAATAAATTTTGTAGCAGTACAAATGGTCCTGAGATTTTCTAGGTAGTTCAGGTTTCTGCACAACTTGAGTTAGAATAAATTCTTTGATCATGGATGTTACAGATTTGTGAGTGAGCTTTGATAAGCCTTTGCTTAAATTTTGAAAGGCATGGTCTGCTTGAAGGTAAGCAGGCTTGAATCTAATCAGGAGTAGAAACTGAGTGGGAAACCCCACATGTGCATCATCATGAGTTCCATGGTGGAAGGATGGTGAAATATAAATGCACTCAATAAAATAATTAATATAATACATAATTTAAAATAAAAGCTATTGTCAAGTTTACCAAAAGGATTTTTAATGGAGCTAATTCTAATGCAAACTACAAATATATGTGTGTGTGTGTATTTGTGTGTGTGTATGTGTATTTGTGATTTATATATATATAAACACATTTATATGGCTCAACCAAGAGAACCTTTGTCATGATAGTCTTTAAAAAAGATATTTTCTAAAACAAAAAGGTGGTCAGAAATTCAGTATTGGGGTGGAGAATTATGGACATGGAAATGCTGACATACTCTCCTTTTAAGAGGACATGCAATGGAGGACTTACAAACAGTACATAGCCATCTCTTACTCAGCAGACATACATAAATCTTTGTGACTCTTAGCCTGGCAGGCAAGATATTGGTGCTCTTCTTACTGGGACATATAGTTCTCCATGAGCACAAAGATAAAATAGATTTTATTTATTGAAAATCTAGCAAAAAGAACAAGTACACCAAGAACTGGGATTTTGCAGCATCAGTCTTTAAGAGAATGCCATTGTTTTATGATGTATAGCTTCTATCTAAGAAACTAATAAAAGTATTGCTGGTCTTTCATTTAAGTTCACACCAACATAAATGGGGCCCAGAGAGGAACTCATAAAGCTCAAAGGCTTCAGGACTTCCTTTTTACAAAAAAAAATTTTTTTTTTCTTACATACTGAACTTCAAATCCAACCTCACAAAAATACTAGGGGAAAAATATATAGACACCACTGCTGCCTTGAAGTATTAAAACATGCTAGTTAGTGACTCACAGATTAATGGCTTTCACTTGTGTAACAGATCATTCAAACCACATTCAAAAATTCTCCCCAAACTGAAAGGCTGCAATTTGGTGCAACTTCACAAGCACACAGCACAAAACTGCTGATAAAAATATAGCTAACATAAAATCAGAGAGCTGGATAGGGACATAGGGTATCATTTATTTCAAGGGTGGGGAATCTGAGGTCCTCCAGATGCTGTTGAAATACAACTCTCAGACACCCTCACTATTGGCCATGTTGGCTGGAGCTGCCAAGAGTTCTAATTCAGAAACATCTGGTAAGCCAGATCCTACACTTCTTATAGGCAGAGAAATCATTTGGTGTGCAGGGTATGTGTTGATTACAATTATTTCTCTCTTACTTTCCTAATATAAAGGACTAGGTAGCACCAACACTTGTCAATAAAATCACAGCTAAATACAGAGTGAGAGAGGGGGGGGTATTGTCCTTCTCATAAGGAAGATTACTCTATGGTGTGAAGAGAGAACTTATCTGAAGGTTTTAAAGCAGTAAGTAATTGCCTTCCTTCTCTCTTTTGGGTCCTCCTCAGAGATCAACTGCTGGTAATTGGGGATGTGCAATATTTTGGAGGAAAAAGGTACCATGGAAAAGAGCTGTGGTGGCACAGTGGTTAGAATGCAAGTACTGCAGGCTAATTCTGCTGATTGCCAGCAGTTCAATTCTCACCGGCTCAGTCTTCCCTCCTTTTGAGGTCAGTAAAATGAGGACCCAGATTGTTGGGGGGCAATAGGCTGAATAGGGTAAACTGCTTAAAGAGGACTGTAAAGCACTGTGAAGAGGTATATAAGTCGAAGTGCTATTGCTACTTCGAATGTAGCATCTCTCTGCATCTACTTAAAGCAGCTCCATCTTTGTCTAGGATCACATGGCTATAGCTTAAATATGGGACAAAATGCAATAGCAGATAGCCACAAGTAGAATACTGGTAGTCCTCAGTTTATTACAGTAATTGGTAATTTCATGATGGCTCAGGTCTCCAGAATTGGTTTCCAGCACCATGGTGGAATACACAACATACAAATACTACCAAGAATGTGCAGAATGCAGTTCCTGATCAAATTAACTACACCCTGTACTTGAAAATTTAACTTAATAAAGTTGTGTTCAAATGGCAAGATGTTGATTTTTCACACTGTTTGTATCAAGGATACAAAAATTATCCCCTTCCTTAACCTCTGAGACAAAGTTACCCTTCCACTGTTGTCAATAATATTATCATTATACATGTGCTATTACTTATCATGATTAAAGTTACTTATGTTTGCTTTAAGGTAATATGAAGCCTAAAAGGATATATAAATTGTATTTCTTTACTGAATTATATAGAGATTCTGATGCATGATCTGATCCAATGACAGACATAAATTCATTAAGGTTCTAACCAGCATTTTTCTAATAGAATATGCTCCTAAGGACATGTGAATAAGAATAAAAAATAAGGTAGAAAAGCTCTTCAAGAATAGCGAAGTGAATCATGCCTGTGCAGCCTCTTTGTGATCCTAGAGGGCCCTCTAGCTGTCAGAGGAATTCTGCAAAATGAAATGACACTAGATCAGGAGTAGGCAACCTTGGCTCTTTTATGACTCGTGGACTTCAACTCTCAGAATTCCTGAGCCAGCCATGCTGGCTCAGGAATTCTGGGAGTTGAAGTCCACGAGTCATAAAAGAGCCAAGGTTGCCTACCTCTGCATTAGACAGAAGATGTCCACAGCACCACAGGAGCAAAACAAAAAGCAAATTTGATCAAGCACGGGTTAAAAGCCTTTATTAAGCTTTATCATGTGTCAATAAGAATGGCAAAACAGGTTATTTCTTCATTCTTATCATTCTCACATGTGGCATCCAGCTGGCATCCAGCAACCCTCATAACTGGCTATGTCTCTTCTTGGTAGAGAGGGACTGGGGCAGGAACACTAGGACTACTGTAAGCATCTATTGATAAAGTTGATCAGATCCAGACTGGCTGATCCATTAGAACTGGGCTGGCTGGGCAGGTCTTAGGAACTGACTTGAGGCATGGTTGATTATTGGCAAGAGTTTCATCTGTTTGGTCCTAGGAAGTGGGCAGCATTCTTGGGATTGTGATTTCTGCCACCTGTGCTTTAGAGCCACGTCTCTCCTGGCTGGTGGAAGTCTCTTGGGAAGTGATGCATGCTTGGATACAAGATATGGTGAACTCCTCTTTGCAGGGTGAGATATTTGCATTTAAAGAGGGGGTTGTCTGTCCCCTTCCTAAGAGGCCATCCTTGGATCCAACAGTTCAGAATGATTTTTTTCCAATCTCCATCCTTCTCTTTTTAGAATGGTTGTTTCACAGCTTCAAAGGGTCCTGAAGAAAGCAGATTATCTGGACTCTTTCTAGTCAAGCTTCAGGCATTTCAAGTATTAATTCTATGTATTCTAAGACTGATAAAATATAAATATTATAAACACAAACAAAATATATTCTTCTTCCTTGGATAAATATGATTATAGTCTTAAAACTGGAGCTGAAAATGGATTCTGGGGCTACTAGCTTTGTTTTGGATAGATATCTGCAATATGTCTGCAAATGAATTCCTACAACACTGCAAAATGTATTCATGCTATTTTATGTATCAAACCAGATCTCAGTACATTTTGTCCTAGGAGAATCAATTCTCCTTTCTCCACGAACCTCTTCTGCATCTCATAGGTATATTTATCGTGAAACTTTTTGAAGAACTAACCTTGAAATCTTAAAATGGAGCTAACACAGAAAATACTGTTGCCAAATAAAATATAAAATATGAAACTTAAATATAAAATTTTAAGAAGATATTGGATAACCATTTGTCTGAAATGGTATAGGATTCTCTGCCTGAGCGGGGAGTTGGACTAGAAGACCTCTAAGGACCCTTCCAACTCTGTTTATTCTGTTCTGTTAAGTAGCCAAACCATAAGTAGCGAATTTGTCAGTCAACCTAGAATTACAGCACCATCTTGTGGTGATCAGTTTATTACAGAATTAGAAATTCCAGTCAAATATATTACCTTTTCATAGTAAGAATTAATACTTTTTGTCAGTTAAGTAAGGATTCTATTTCAGCTTCATTGCACCAGCAAAAGAAATAGCATGCTAATTTCAACAGAATATTGCTATTGTTGTGAAGAAAATAGGAAGAGGAAGGAGTATTAGATGTTCACCTCCTTGAGTTTATAAAAATAATAAAGGTGGGGAATGAATAAATAAATAAATAAATATCATAAAGGGAAAAAATGGCGGGGTTGAAGTTGTTCTGGAAGAGAGAAATAAGAACTGCAACAAAATGTTACACTCTATTTTCACATCAGCTCCCATTCTGTACAAGTAGCTCCCATTCTGTACAAGTAGCCCTCCACTTACGACCCTTCAAGTGACTATTGGAACTTACAGCAACAATCAAAAAAACAATGACTTACAATTGGTCTCCACACTTATGACCATTGCAACATCCTCACAGTCACATGATCAAAATTCAGATGCTTGGTGGCTGCTGGCATGTATTTATGATGGTTGCAGTGTCCCAGGGTCATGTGATCACCATTTGGGACCTTCTCAGCCAACTTTCAACAAGTAAAGCCAATAGGGAAAGCCAGATGTACTTAATGATCATGTGATTCACTTAACTGCAGTGATTCTGTTAACAACTATGGCAAAAAAGGTCATACAATTGGATACAACTCATTCAATAACTGCCTTGCAGGCAACAGATATTCCCATTCCAATTGTGGTCATAAGTCAAGAATTATCTATATTTCAGATAGCTATTCCCTCTAGGATATATCCTTTCCTTCCATCCCCAATTTATAAAATGAACATCCAATTTTCTGTGGCTTTGGGGCCTACTGTGTTATTTCCCAATGCATTATTTTGATGCATTAGCTTACGCCCTTCAGATTTTTTTATGATACCTTATACGCATGGGTTTTAGTAGGCAGCTTTGTCTTTTTCAATAGCCTGTTTTAAGTACTTAGCTGTTGATGTTTATCTTTTCAGTTAAATATCAGAGGAATGAGTCTCTTCTTATTAAAGACCACTTTTGCTCAGAAGACACCTGGAATGGGGTTCATGATGGCAATTTAGGTTTTACTTATGATGGATTGATAAAATGTGTAAGCCATTTTAGGATCTGAATGGCAAAATGAAAAACAATCATTTATAAACCAAGTGACAATTACAAATTGATTAGCAAATATGGTTCTTATACATTTAGGGCAGGGATCCCTAAACTCTTTAGTTCATGGGTGTCAAACTCATCACATGACGTGTTGTGACATATCATGACTCTTTTTGCATTGCAGGCAATGGGGTGGGCGCAGCTCCGGTATGATGAAACTGGCCCGCGGACAGGCAGTTTGACGCTCCTGCTTTAGTTCATCAATTCATTCATGAAATTTCAGATTGTTCACCAATCAACAAATATTATATGAAAAAAAATCCTACTTTAATAGTACTACAAATGATGATAACATCCACCTTTGAAAGTTAATTACTGATCATTTTGGAAAACCTTGCTTTTTTATAAGGCATTACTCAACCACACTGATACTGTATAATTGACCTCCTGAAACATTTTTATTCATGCTCCTCTATTCCGAGGATCCCCTCCTCTCCTTCAGCTCCGCCTCTTCTCTTTCAATTTCCCGCTCTCCTTTTTGCAGCCAACCAGCGGAAACGACTCCGAACGACCAATCAGGGCTCTCTTTCGTCCCTCCGCCAGGGACAGCGCCTCCTCTCGCCTCCCATAGGCGCGTGCGCACTCGTCCCTACGCCGCCTCGGAGGTGTGTGCAGGCCGGGGCCGTCGATCGGTTGGCACGTGTGTTTGGGAGACCTTGGAGGCCTGGCTGGTCACGCGGGGCCAGAACGTTAGAGCCTCCATGAGCAGGTGTTGTCCACCTGTAGCCTCGGTCGTGAGAGGACTTCTCGGTTCCGTTTTTTTCTGCCTGACCCGGACCATGAGCCTCCGTGGAACACCGGCTGCCTACCTGTCGGGGGCCGCGGGGAGCAGCAGGGCGGGCTCCGACGAAGGAGGGAGCGGAGGGAGCGCCTTCTTCCTGCCCTCGACCTCATCGCCGCGGCCGAGGCTGCTGCGGCTGTCGGAGGTGCCGGGCGCCGAGCCCTTCAAAGCCAATGACGTGCTGCTGCACCTGCCCCTTTCTGCCCCCGCAACGGGGCAGTCTCAGCATCACGTCGTCTACTTCCCGGGGGACGTGCAGGTAGGAGGCGGGCGCCGCCAGCGGTCTGCGAGCGGTTTCGGATACGCAAAGCATGCCAGGAAACGCAACGCGTGGAGGGGGAGGGGGTGACAACGCGCGTTCGTGGGTTGGGAGACCGGCCGTGGGGCTCAGCCGCATGTGCGAACGCAGACCACGGGGGTGGGTGGAAGTAAACCAGGGCTCGGTGAACGGCGAGTGAACGCCGCAGTCCCTGAAAGGTTCAACGGCGTCGCCTGGTTCCGGGCGAAGATGCGGAGTGAGGCAACCCGAGAAATACATTTGGGTATACAGACGCGGGCTTTCTCCCTTAGGACTTCCGTTCTAGCGTGACTTGTGCTTTGCTGGCAAAATTCAGGTCTTGGAATTAAAACTGAAAGGAAGAGGGATTTATGAATACGTTGGCCGGTATTAAATCGGTGGGTGTCATCAGAAGAAACGATGACCTCTTTTGTAGGCCATGATTGGCACTTAAAAATCTGCCATTTCACAGTTTTATGGGTATATCATTGTAGATGCTCCTGAAATCAAGTCAAAACTTTTTAAGAAATATGTTGGATCTATGTCGGTTTTTTTTCTAACGGAGTCTGTAGATATCTTGCACAAATCTTATATTAACAGAAGTGGATCTGAAAGCACCAGGGATCTTAACTGACTTTTGAGTTGATCCAGCTTGTTTGTATCATTTTCAAAGTTTTCCTGTGGTGGCCATTATTTATTCTTATTCCATAGTAAAAGAAATGAGGCTGTTGTCTCTGTCCTTATTGTGGGATTTTTTCCCTGTGAATAAATTGATGGCAAGGAGAAAAAAAACATACCATTATTATAGTTACAGCCCAGCAAAATTATTTAAGCCAACTGAAATTAAAAACATATAATACCTAGTTCAGAAAAGGTTAAAACATAATGGAAGATCTAAGGATCTTTATATCTATCATTGTAGAGAAATTGAGAGTTTCAGCTTTCTAAGATGAAAATTGAAATAGAAGATATTCCCATTTTTTAAGTTGGTGTTGAGGCAAGATGCTGTGTATCTACCCAAATTCCAGGGTATTTTGTAACAAATTGAAGTGTTGGAAGTCATTTTAGCTTTAAAGGGGTTGATGGCATTAACATCAATGGGCTGTAACTCAATCCTAGCAAGATGAAGTGGCTTGTGAGTATTTGGACCTTCCAGAGACAAGGCTCTTGACCATCTTTAGTTCTGGATGGGATTATACTACCCCAGACAGACCCACTGTGCAATCTGGAAATCCTGCTAGACTCACAGCTCCTGCTTAAAGAGCAAGTGGCAGTCATGGCTAAGAGAGCCTTTGCATACCTTCAGGTGGTAAACCAGGTGCACCAGGTGCACCCATTCTTGGCCAGAAGACTCTGCCTTCACACCTTCGTAACCTCTCATTTAGACTAGTGCAACATGCTGTATGTGGGGCTGTTCTTGAAGGGAATTTGGAAACTTCAACTGGTCTAGAATGCGGGTGGTAAATGGCACAAGATTTATAGTACCTATAACCTCACTTCTGTATGAGCTGCATTGCTTACCAGTATGTTTCTGGGTGCAATTCAGAGTGCTGGTCGTCACTTTTAAAGATCTACGTGGCTTGGGACCAGATTACCTGAGGGATCATCTTTTTCCAAGAGTCTCTACCCACCCAACTCGATCTAGCAGAATGGACATGCTGCAGAGATCCCATCGCCAAAGAATGTCAGCTGATGATGACTAGATGATAAGCTTTTTCTGCAGTGGCCCCTGCTCTATGGAACATCCTCCCTTTGAAGATTAGAATGACCTCAACCCTGCTAGCCTTTTGTAAGACCCTAAAAACCTGGCTATGTTCCGAAGCCTGGGATGCGGAAGATGTCAAGGGGTATATTTCCTGGCTTTACTGCTAAACTCACCAAGCATCTCGGCTGCTATGTATATTTTTTATTATATGATTGTTTTAAAATACTTCAGTGTTTTAATTGTAATATTTTGTTTTTACTTGTAAACCGCCCAGAGTCATCATGAGATGGGTGGCTCTAGAAATTGAATGAATGCGTACATGCATATTCAGGAAAATCACGTTAAGTTACAGTAGGCTGGAAAATCTTAAAAGGGACAGCTGTATTCATTTCAAATGCATGCATTCCTCAAATGTTATTAATATATTATTTCTACTGTTAATAAGCATGTGACCTGCATTTTTTCCAACAGTTTCCTCTAAAATAATGCCTCTTTATTTCATTTCAGAACTATCATGAAATTATGGCTTGCCATCCAGAGAACTTCCCGTGGAAACAATGGTGTTTAGAAAATGTTGCAATTATTCTTGGTCATCGTTTTCCAGGCAGTTACATTTGGATTATAAAATGTTCCCGTATGCATTTGCACAAGTTCAGCTGCTACGATAATTTTGTGGCAAGCAATTTGTTTGGAGCACCTGAACATAGTACTGACTTTGGAGCCTTCAGACACCTTCATGCCCTGCTAACTAATGCATTTAAACTTGCTCAAAATTTTTTGGTGTCTCAGAAAAGCATGTACGATTTTAGCGACAATACAAAGGCAGTTTTTTGTGAATTACCTACTTTTGCTGCTAGTAATGGTTGCCCAGCAGCAGAGAAACACTGTGAGCTTGTTAGCAAGTCTGTGAGCTTTAATGAGCCTTCTGCTATTCACAGAGCTTCATTCACATTAATAGGATTCAGTAAAGGTTGTGTTGTCTTGAATCAATTACTTCACGAACTGAAAGAAGCAAAAAAGGACAAGGATATAGATGCTTTTATACAAAATATAAAAGCTATGTACTGGCTGGATGGTGGTCATTCTGGAGGAAGTAATACTTGGGTAACATTCCCTCATGTGCTGAAATACTTTTCACAGACTGGAATTTCAGTTAATGCTCATGTCACACCGTACCAGGTATTTGATACAATGAGAACATGGATTGGAAAAGAGCACAAGAGATTTGTACAACTTCTTGAGGAGTTTGGTGCAAATATAAATAGCCAACTTCATTTTGCTGATGAAGCACCTTCTTTGGACAATCACTTCAAAGTGCATGAAGTATTTTGATATGTTAATGATGCCAGTGTTATCTGCAAAATAGATCTTAAACTTCCAGTTTAATAATGTGTTTTCTTAACACTTGGGAGAGGAAATATTGTATATGCTTTCTAAGATGAATGTTGATGTTACAAGTCTACTGCTTGTAACCTAAGTCACCAGAAAGTTACAGCTTTTTGATCTGAGCAAGGCAGCATTATCCATGAGGAAAACCAATTTAAGAGGGGGGAAAAAAACCCTAATTCAGATTAATGTTAAAGGAAGGGTTTGTGTAATTGTCTAGAATTATAATGACCAAAACTTTCAAGCCTAGATATAAAAAAGATCATCTTCAAATTCTTCTAATTTGATGAAATTGAAGGTTTGTTTTTGAATAAAATCCTGTTATTTAGATGGGATAATTATTAGAATGTCAAAGCTACTCTTAACATTATTTAGTACTTTTAGCACAAGCAATGCAGTAAATTGGTTATTTTGACAGTATTTATCTTCATTGCAATAAGTATATGTTAACCTTGGGAATAAGCTGAATAATAACTACTGTACTGTTGTGCCAGAGGCGCCCCGCAGTTTCTAACCACTGCAAGCATCTACAGATGTTGTATTTTTGTTTTCCTTGGGGGGGGGGCATTGGAAGAGAATTAAGCATTGTGAGACCAAAAAAAAGTATACTCTCACACGGTTCAACATTCCATATTAATGGTGAAGCTTAACTAGCTCTCAATACAATTTTGAGCTTTTGTAACTTGAGACTGTTAGAACTTTTGTAACAACTGTAATTATTACTTTGCTGAATATGAAGCCATCTAATTACATTATATTAATACTGTTAAGTTATGGGAAAATGGTAGTCGCATATATACAGTTGTTATTTATAACACAGGAACACCAAGTAGCATTCTCTGTAAAACAGCAATTATGTGAGAGAAGGATCACTACAGTGTAAAACATTTTGATGTTTCCATAGTTAAACATTAAAGTATCATTAATGAATCAGTGCAATTTTTATACATTGTTTGAAAACTAGAAACCGGAACACTATCTGAAAATAGAATTTGGAGAATATAAAGTTCCTCTGAATTTTAAAGGATTTGTGACACAATAGGACCTCTTAAAACAGAATTCCTCAACCTTTCCAGCTTTGCAGCCAGGGGACGGGGTGGTTCCACACAGATGGGGCGTGCATGCACTTACCTGCTGCTTGTGCAAGTGGGGATGTGCGTGCGCACTTGCCTACCACTTCCATGGCCCAATTCCAAATGGCTCAAGGCCCGATAGTGGGCTGTGGCCCAAGAGTTGGGGATTCCTGCCTTAAACCTTACTGTTGAAAGATAATAAACTGGAAATATTGCTACAAAAAAAACTTATGTTAAAAGTTGAAGGCTATGTCCAAATTGTTTTTGCTATAACAAACGGTTTGATAATCTGATTTTCATAGAATTTCCTCCATAATATTTCTCTATGTCATTATTCCATTCTGTGTTTTGCAAGAAGGGCACTTTTTTCAAGAGTAGTTTTTAAAAATGGGATAGAAAGTTAAGGTAGAGGAATCAATACAAATGGAGATCCTTGTTTGCAAGAGAGTGAGCACTGCCTGCTTACTATCCAGTGTATAAGCCACACAGCTTTTGAGCATGAGTAAGCTATGAAATTAATGTTTGGTTATAATGGGTGGAGTTTAATCATATGCTTGTTCCGTGGAAGCCACTTTTCCTCCTCTAGTGGTCTCTAAACCCTCTGCAGCAGATTTGACTGTCATGAGAGAGCTGTGAGGATAAGAAAATTGTTTTATTAGCAGTAGGCCTTTAGCATAGACTTTGATGCCATCTCATACTATGTAAAGATGATGTAGGTTTGTCACATCAGTATAAATGTGAAATAGCTATTTGTTCTGATCCAATAATTCACTATGGGCACTTGAGGTATTGTTCCCCTCACTTCAGTGTTTCCAAGGGATGTGCGCATGGAAGAGGGAAAGCCAGGATGTTAAGTAGGTCAAATCTCATAATGTTTCTGCAGCCAAAATGCAGGGATTTTTGCTTTTCACACATTCCAATGAGATTTTTGTTATTGTTGCACTTTAAAATATATTTTGAAGTCTTTGCTTCTTAATTCATACTTTTAAAGTAATAAAATGCTTAAAGTTTAGTCATCTTCAAATTAATAGTTTACAACTATTACAATATCCAGCTTTTAATAGACACTATTCACATATTACTTCACAATAAAAGTTAGAAGCCAGAAGACTAGGTGAGTCTTACAGTATTCTGGAAAAAATTAATTCCATCTACAGTTAGGATATATCTATTTACTGAAATGATGTCTAGCAGTCAAGTGAGTTGTTTCCCAAATTTGCTCAAGAATTGAGTAAGATTTGGAGCTGAAGTAAGAGGGAAATAGTATATTGCATGCCTTCAGTACAGCTTATTAACTCTGTCACAATATAAAGATACTGAAATTTCTGTACTAATAAATATTTTCAATGTGACATACTTTGTTTACTTTTGAAGGCTGCTTTTATAAATAAGCACTATGTTTTTCTTACAGTAGATACTGACATAAATTGAACTTTATTTTCCTGAATGGAGCTAAGAATACTTTTGTTTCTACAGAGAATTGGAAGATAGTAGTAGTAGTAGTAGTAGTAGTAGTAGTAGTAGTAGTAAAGTTGGAAGGAACCTTGGAGGTCATTGAGTCCAACCCCCTGCTCAGGCATGAAACCCTACACCATTTTACATCCAAAATACACAATCTGTTTTTTTTTATTGGATTGTTACATATTTATGATACAGGAGTGTCAGATGAAAGAACAACTCTTTGCAAACTAAAATACTTATTCTACTGAAAGGCAATACGTTGCAAAGTAGCGAAAACCATACGTTGCAATTTCTGCAAGAAACATTTCTTACAAGATTTTTATACCCGCTCAAGGTATTACAGAGTAAATTTTAAAAAATAAACACTGAAGAGATTGTTGTACTACCTTCACAGTTTATTAACTCCAAACATTAGAAATGTCTACAAATCCTTAAAAATTGTGCCTTTTCTGAGCTTCTTGGAAAACACATTTAAGGATGTGCCAACTCATTAGATATGCACATTATCTCTTCAAATCCAGATTGATGCAGTCTTACTGTTTATCTCCTTAGCATACACGTATATTATATTCATAAATAATACAACATTTTAGCAGTATGTGTCTGTTCAAAACACTGCCTTGTGTACTCTGGCTTAAATGGTATATAAACCAATCGCCATCCTATTAATTGGTTCACAAGAAAGAGTTTAATATATATATTTCTCAGAACAACTGTTAAGTATTCAAAAATGTCTTTTATTCATAATTACTGCTGTAAGTTTTTTCTTGGATGCGTAATGCCATTCTCCTACCATAGAAGTCTCTGTATTCCTCAGGAAGTTCTTCCAGGTTTTTTAGTGCTCTATCCAAAATTTGCATTGCTCTTGAGGCTGCAGTGAGATCTTTGTTTCCATACGTATCTGTTTTATCATAGTATTCAGAAGGAAGCTGCTTCCAGAAAACATTGACTCCAACTCCAAATTCCTTAGAAGTCACATTATGGAACCACAAGGCTGGAGAGGGGGGAGGGAGTTGTGAAATATATTTTACACATATTATTATATATACTGAAAACATATTTAATTTCTAGTTATCAATCAGAAATTGTTTTACAGTGACAGCTTTACAGGAAGATGCTTCAGCCTTGCAAACTTATTAACTCTAAATATACAATGTTTCTATAATTTGAAGATTTGAAAATTGTTCTGAAAATATACTTGGGACTATAGATTCTTTAGGTTAGATTTAGACCAATAAATCTAAGAAATTTGTAGAAGTGAATTGTAGCTGGGCAAATACTAACCAGAAATCCCAGTGAATGAAGTTGAACTATTTTTTGCTGATTCTTCAGCTGCACATCCAAAACTCTTCTGAAAGTACCTTGTAACCTTGATTTAGGACAGTGTTTCTCAACCTTGACAATTTTAAGGCATGTGGACTTCAACTCCCAGAATTCCACAGCCAGCAATGCTGGCTGTGGAATTCTGGGAGTTGAAGTCCACATGCCTTAAAATTGTCAAGATTGAGAAACACTGATTTAGGACTACTACTGTTCGCAGTTATGACAGCCTCAAAATCGGTCTTTAAAGACTGTAAGGTATTTCTGGCAATCAAAAAATGTTGACACCCCCCCCCCCCCGGGTCGCATTTCAGGCATTTGGCAACCTGTCTGCATTTACAACTGTTTGCCAAGTGCCCTGTGATCACCATTTGCAATCGTCTCTGCTGGCTTTCCCAGAAAGTCAGTGGGGAAGCCAGCAGGAAAGATTGCAAGCAAGGGGAATGCTGGATTTGAGATCCATTCCCCAAGCACACCATGGAATCTCTCTCCCATACAGGAAGGGGAAATCCTCCCGCACACTGGAGAAACAGTCCTCAAATCTGGCAAAAACACTAGCAAATGCCAGCCTTCTGAGCCTTTCAGAAAGCTGGTGTTTGCTAGTATTTTCCTGTCCAAAGGAAAGAGGCAAATACTAACAAATATCAGTGTTCTGAGCCTCCCTGAATTATTGCATTCGCTAGCTTTTTTAACAGATTTGAGATATGTTTCTCCAGTGCACTAAGGGTTTTCCGAAGGCAAATCTCTCCAGAGGGGAAATCTCTTGATACACTGAAGGAACCGACTTCAAATCTGGCAAAACACTACAGAATGCCATTGTTCTTACAAATTTTCTTCCTGGTAAAGTAAGGGCTCAAATTTCCCAGATGTGCTGGGAAGCCCTGGCCCTCTCCTCATTCCACCATGTCCAAGAGGACTCAGCCTTCCCTCTAGCACTCCATTTAATGACGATAACAGAAAGAGTTGGGATCACAACTGTTGAACGAAATGATCATATGGCATCATCACTTAATAACTGCTTCGTTCAACAACTGAAATTCCAGGCTCAACTGTGGTCGTAAGTGGAGGACAATCTGTAGTTAAAAACAATTGGGAGGAGGGGCTGAGAAAGCAAGGATAATCCATGAAAATCACCACTCCCATTTCACCCAACAAACTAATTTGGATTGAAGTGAGATCCAGAGTACAGCTTCAAAAATCTACATTGTGTTTTTGTCTTCCCTTTTCTTTCTTTCATGTATGCTTACCAGTTTGAGGTCTAAAGAGACTTATACTTCTAAGGATACTTACCTAGTAACTAAACATCATTATTAGCTATACTAGAGGCACACATCTCATTGGGGTTCAAACTGTTCAGATATGGATTCCTTGAATTTTGAAAGAATTAAAAATTGACCAAGAGCTTTCAAATCAGCAGACAGCTACAATGAAGTGTTATTTTTTTATGCATGAGGCACTTTATTCTAGTTCAAAGAGCATTCCGCTTAATTATAGTGATCATCACTCCAACCTAATAGAATCTAAATTTGATAAGGAAAAGGTTACATCTGCTCTCCAAAGGACCACAGGCCAATCCAGCTGGTGCATGTAGTACACAAGCCAATACGCTAAAAATAGCTTCAGATGGAAGAACAGCCTTGGAAGTATTCCAAATTCTCACATTATTTGGAAGATTTTAATAAATAAAATGGATGTAATAAACTGTTGCAGTCTCTTTTGGATCTAAATCTAAATTAAATGTGCAGAGTAAAAATGAGGAGCAGCTTCTCTTCAGACTAACACTTCAGACTAACACATGTATTAAAAGGCATAAGCTATTGGCCCATGATTTTGGCTATGGGGAAGCCAGATTCACTTAACAATCATGTTACTACCTTAACAACTGCAGTGATTGACTTAACTGTGGCAAGAAAGATTGTAAAACGGGGCAAAACTCACCTAATTTTTTTAGGAATGGAAATTTTGCTCTCAATTGTCTTAATTTGAGGACTGTATAGATTGCCACAATTAATGAATAGTAAAATTAATGGATGGCTGAGATGGGGAAATTAACTACTTTGATTAAAGAAAAGATTTTTTTATAGCTTTGCTTCAATATGGAACCCACTTTTGGACTTTTTGCTTGAAACCGAAAGAAACATATTAATTTTGGGATTTAACATTATAATTGTTTAAAACAATTCCATTGTCTATTATTGAATTTTAGATCAAAAGGTGAAATATTTTTTATATTTGTAACTGTATCTAAGAAAGTTGAAAGTTACAGTTTACTTATTTTCTCCCCCCTTTCCTTATTGTCTTGCACTTTTCCCCTCCTGAAGTATATTGAAAAAGAATTAACTTGCTTGTTATAGATACCATAAGTGAATTTTGCACTGGATATAGATTAAGACCATGTAATATTGTGCTGTTCAAAATTTAAAGACCACATTTATTTTCTCTAGTTTTTTTCATCAGTAACTTATTAAAAAATACAATTTTTAAAAATTAGACTTTTTATTAGAGTTTGTATTAAGTATTTCGTTACATAGGTTCTCACAAATAAGAATATTTTTTTGAACTGTGGCTTAGCATGATATGCAAACATGGAGACATGTTAAGGACAAAAACCATGTCAAAACCCATGGCTTTATCATGACATATGAGTCAGATCACTATAATTCATGGCTAAGATAGAATTGTCTTTTTCCTGTGGTTTTAAATACAATTTGCTGCACATAAACATGCAGTCATAAAAAATAGTCTCCTGTGACTGACTGACTAAATTCTAAGCTGAATCAGACCAAAGAGGAGACAGCCTTCTACAGTTTAAAAAAAAAACAGCTGAATTTGTTGGTTTTCTTACCAGGAATGAATAAGACATCTCCAGCATCCAGCTGACATTCATAACGTCTAGCCTTGATAAAGAGAGGATATTTCTTCATGTTTGGTTTATCCACATCTAGTACCTCAGACTTTGTGCCTGATGGAAGATTTCAATGAACAATCAATGACAATGCTTCTATTAAACTGTATTACTCTTAATGCTACCAGCATAATATTTAGGCCCCTCATTTGGGAATAAAACCTACAGGAGAGGAAGACTATGTATACTGTATGTGTATGTGCCTCAGGTTGAGTATTGGGCTGCCAAAATGATGATTTTCCATTTCTCTAGCTCTTTTAAGCTGTCAGATCCTATTAAATCAATTTTAACTACAGTATGGTGCAATTTAAGTCTTAAGTCTTTATTAGACCAAATGGGACATCCTTTCCTTGCAATCTCAGAAAAACTACTGTTTAACTGATCAATTAATCACAGTATTTCATTCCAGAGTAGTTCTCCTTTATTCAGTGAATGCTAACTATGGAAATATATGTGGTTTAAGCCAGAGGTCCCCAACCCCCGATTCGTAAACCAGTACCGGGCCGCGGCATGCCAGCAACCGGTCCACACAAACAAGCAAAGCTCCATCTGCGAGATGCAGGCAACACACAAAACCACACACTCCAGTCCGCGGAAAAACCTCTCTCCACGGAACTGGTCCCTGGTGCCCAAAAGGTTGGGGACCTCTAGTTAAGCAAACAGCATGTTGCTCTTCAGTCTCATCTAGAAAGCACATGGTGTTGCACAAAGCAACTGAAAACTGTTTTTTAGTGATTTGCATCTCATTAGCAACTGCTTATTCTAGTTAGCTATTTTAGTGGGTGAAAGGGGCTGTGTTGTTTTATTTGCTTTTTTCTTTTTCTTTTATGTTTATTTAAAGTTTATAGGCAACACCAAAGGATGGCTTTATTTAAAAAGAATACAAATATCCCTTTGAGTTACAACTGTAGTGGAACCTGCCCATTACAGTCAGAAGTCAGGACACCACTAAGTGAAGCACCTCATTTTATAACCCTCCACCTCTGCTCTCCCCAGTGCAAATGTGTGGGTCGTTAAATGGAGGATGGGGTACCTCAGGGTGGGAGAGACCCTGGTAGTATTAAAAGTTTCAAGAATTTAATGCCTGTTTACAAAGTTATCATGTCTGTACCCTGGTCAAAAATCAAGGTTATTCTGGAGAACGAACAAAAGCATATCCAAGATTATGAAAAACTGTAAAGTTTACAAATGGGAAAAATGACAGATTCGGGGAAAAAAGCTCAATAAAGGATTCTTTAAAATCATAACAAATAAAAGCGACAAAATACTCAACGGAATTTTGAATCATCTACTGTTATTAATAATTAAAGATTAAAAAAATATATTATACACAATGCAAAGTAAAGTGTATAGAACAGGGGTAGGCAACCTTGGCTCTTTTATGACTTGTGGACTTCAATTCCCAGAAT